TTTGCTCTTTTTGTTGTGCGGGTGGCGCCGGGTTCTCTCTGCCTTCTTCTTTCGGGAGGTGACGGAAGGGGGAGAAAAATACGAGATAATTCACGCCGGCGACGAATTCACAGCGAAATAGCAAAAAATAAAAATCAGAAGAAAATACTTGAGAAAAAAAGGAAAAAGAGAAAGCGAGAGAGACATCCAAAGTAGGTCGAATAAATAATCCTCTTCTTTTCCTCTTTCTTGCTTCTTCTGCTTCTTCTGCTATAACACACAGAGCTAGTTAAAAAAACCCTGGAGATCGCCCAAAAATGTTCTTTTTTTAGTATTTTAAATAAGTGCTCTTCAGCCGGGAACCAACACCCTCCCTCCAAAAAAAATCATATATGTATAAAATAACGATAAGAAGAATACGCAGGGGGTGCCTCCTCCTCCTTTTTTTTTTTTCAAGTTTAGTCTCTCTTCTGCAGGCAAGGAGTGAAAGAGAAAAGGAGGAGGGAGAGAAAGAGAAAGGGGGACAACTAGTAGACTGTGTAAGAAAATGAAAGGGGAGAGACAGGGCAAGAGGAGAGTGGGTGAGAGAGAGAGGAGGGAGAGGGGCAGAGGAGAGGAGAGGAGAGGAGAGGAGAGAGGAGAGGAGAGGAGAGGAGAGGAGGAGAGGGGAAGAGGAGAGGAGAGGAGGAGAGGAGGAGAGGAGAGGAGAGGGACCACAAAATTGAAGGCGTTTAAACGGGAGGACACTCAGAGCAATGTTTCCGAAAGGGGGATCTGCGCGAATGTCTGTATATAGTGAACTTTGACACTACTATTGAAACTGACACGTTTCTATGGAGATCGCTGCCTTATATGGAGCTCGTGTCAAGGAGCCAAGAGAAGGGCTGCTGGCAACTGATAATCAAAGGCGACTGACTGGTCAGAGCCCTGAATGGGGGGAGAGAAAATGGGAGGCTAAGGTTAGCCAAGCCTCCTGCACGCCATTGGCTGGAGGGCCCTTCCCCCTCCCCCCAGTACCTACAGTCTGGGATGTCGAGGGGAGGCGGAGAGCGGTGAGGGAGGGGTGTGCTTCTGACGAGCGCAATTTACATTGAGATCGCCCTGCGCTGCTATTTACTCTGGGACCTGATTAGTATGGGTCGTGTATGGTCACACACACACACACACACACACACACACACACACACACACACAGACACACACACCGGAGGGGGAAGGGATGATGAGGAAGAGAACGCGTTGCGATGGGGAAAAAAAATGAGAATGAGAAAGAAATTATTTCATGTCTTCTGAAAAGTTTTTAAAATTAGATTTTATGAGCGTAGAGTGTCACTGAAAACGTTAGGAAAAATTAATGAGAATGAAACCACCATTTTAATGATTTGTGAAGTATACTGGGTCTAGAATCTTCGTTCACATTCAACATAATCCTAGCCTGGGTCCTGCTAATTTTGTATTATTAAAAAAAGCCTCCTCATTTAAAAAATTTGAAGTATATCATAGTTTGGGGGGCGTAATTACGACAAAGCACACTCATAAAATTGCAGCTCCTGTCACAAATTCGATCCGAATCGATGGTTCCTATTCATCCCAAAGCTGATCTTAAAATAAACTTTCCAATCAATCCTGTTTTTCCTTCTTCATCATTTTTATCCCCAGGATGCTCCAACTCCAAACAATGCTTCAATAATTATTAATAAAGCATTAGTAAGTCCTCATATCGTCGTGGGGCGGCTGAGTGCCCACAACTCAGAGTCACAGGAAAAGAGCAAAGGAACGAGAAGACAGGAAGAGAGCGGGGCAGAGGGGGACCGGAGGAGGGAAGAGGAGGAGGAGGGAAGTCAGTGTCGTGTGTGTGTGTGTGTGTGTGTGTGTGTGTGTGTGTGTGTGTGTGTGTGTGTGTGCCTGTGTGGGGGTGCCGAGACCCCATTCCCGAAGGTGATTGGTCGCAGGAGGAGGGGCAGGCGGGAGGAGCGGGTCCCGCCGCGGGGCTTGCAGCAATCGCTAGGTCCGGCTGCCACCTAGCGGACGGGAGCCGCTCCCAGGCGACAGGCAGCCGGGTCCCTCCTCCCCTCCCCACAGGCAGCCAGAGCCTTTTCTCCAAACGAGGACAGCACTTTGAAAATTCTTTCAATGGATTTTTTTTTCCTTGAAAGATCGTACTGGGGGAAAACGAAAACGATACTTCTATTAGTTACATATTCTCCAATCCCACACTTGCACCCCCTCTGGTTTTAAGATTGCTCCCCTAGGCAGGCTCAGGCGGGCGCAGAGCAGCAGAGCGACAAAGCCGGCTGCCACCGCCCGGAGTGGGAGTCCCTCCTGCCAGCCCACCCCTCTGCTCGGGAGAGCGTAAAAGTTTGTCTCTGCGCCCCCAGGTAACGGTGGAAGTAAACGGCCACGCTGTGTGGAAGAGGTGAGGTTTGGTTTTTAACACAGGTTCCCACTGTAAATCTCATAGGGAGGGGTTTGGAAAGCTCTGCGTGCTTGGGGTACGCTTTACACTTCTTGGTCTCTGGGACCGATCGTTTAGTGGCCAGAGATAATTTTTTTAAAGAGCAGAATAAAGACTTTCTTATATGTGCCCCACAGCTCTCCTATCTGGAATAATGGAGCCTGCATCCTGTGTGCTGCGGCCCATTGTATGCAGCTGATGGAGAGGCGGTCAGGGGGTGACAGGAGCTCCTGGCCTTAGCCCCTCAGCCCCAATATTCGTGATCAAGTCTCCCGGTTAGTTTAAAGGTGAAATTGATATGATTAAAAATACCCCCCCCCCCACACACACAAAAGACAGAAAAAAAAAAGGAAGAAAGGAAGAGGGAGAGAGAGCAAGAGAGCGCTGTTTATATAGAAATTCTAAAATTTGCTCCCCAAACAATCAGAGACAGAGCCGTGAGCAGCTGAACGGAGGCTGGGGGGAGGGAAGAATCGCAGAAGAGTGGGAGAAGACGCAAAAGCAGGCGTCCGGGAACAGGAGGCCTGCTGGAAGCCGGGTCCACCCGTCCAGCCGCCCTGGGACTCTGGACTGTACACGGTGGGCACCAGAAGCGACACTCGGCCGACCCTGCCCGACCAGGCAAGTAACGCAGCGATAATCGTTTCTTTGGAACTTGGGGTCTGTTAACCTTCGATAACGTGGTTGGGCAGAAAGGCAATCTCCCCGGGCAGGCAGCCTGGAGATGTAGTCCCGGCGGCCCAGGTGGGACCGGGAGAACTTTCGCTTGGGCCTGGTCGGGGGCTACCATCGCCCATCCTTTCCGCTGCACTTCCTCGGAGGTGAGGACCCGGGCCAAATCCAAAACAGGCCCCCGCTATGAGCCGCCCCCAGCGGGGGCGGGAAAGGCTGTGTGGGCAGGGGACCCGAGGCTGCAGCAGGTTTGGAACCCGCGCGGTCAGCCCTCGGCGTGCGGAGCGGGAGCTGCGGTGGAGCCGGCCGGCCTGGGCACCTGCGCCCGGCCGCGCTGCAGCCGGGACCTCGGGAGCGGCGCTGAGCCGCCGGCCGCCAGCAAAGTAAGGCGATCGATGGCTGCCCGTTTGATGTGGGCGATGGTGTCAGCGGATTAAAGGGGACATCCGCGGTTCTCCCGAGCAGAGAACCCGCGGCGGCGGCGGCGGCAGCGGCGGCGGCGGCGGGAGAGCAACGAGGCAGCAAAGCCAGACTCCGCACGCTGGGCCAGGCGGGCTGGGGGCGGGGAGGGGTTCGCCTCCCAGGAGTGGGGACCGAGGTTGTGTGTGTGAAAGGAAGAGCTTCAATTAAAACCAACCGGAGCGCTCCCCCTCCCCGCCCCTCCTCCCCTGCACCGGGCAGGGGCGCGCGTTTGCGTCAGAGGGCGCGCAGGGCGGGCTCGCCGGGCGAGGGTGGGGGTGGGGAGCTGACACTCGGGACCGCGCCCGGGGGGCTGGGTGGGCTCTTGAATGAATCAGCCCTGCTTGGAAGGGCTAGTCGGGGGTCAAGTCCTGCAACAAAGCTGAAGGACCAGCAGAGACTCAGTGGGAGAGGTGTCGCCCACCCATCTTGGTCTCTCCTTCTCGCGTCCCCTCCCTGCCCCAAGCTTCCAAACTCACAAATAGGCCTCTGGGACCCAGTCTGACCCCTAGAGTGGAGGAAACCGGCCTCTCCAGGCCTTGGGTGAAGCCGCCAGCTCCTCTCCAACGAGATCGCAATTCTCAGCCTTAGCTCTAGGAGCAGGCATGGGAGGCTGTCTGTTGGGGGTGCCCACAGCAGGGCAAGCCTCAGGCTTTGGGGAAGGGGAGATGCTGGTGTTCCTTGGAGTCAAGTGTCCCCAGTCTCTTGAGAGGAGTTAGAATGAAGCAGTGACTTTCTGAGGAGGGCCTTGGCCACCTATGAGACCCAGTCTGCTCCAGCAGCACCCAGGACTCAGTGGTTTCGGATCCTGTGCTCCTCAGGCGGGCGCACACCCCCGGATCCCACTGGTGCTGGGGCTCACAGTGCGGCCTCCACCAAAATGGCTTCCGCAGAGGCCCCGGGCTGGTCAGCCCAGGGCTTGGGAAGGTCTGGCTTTGTTTCTTAAAGTCGTCATTTGACAACAGTCCAACTTGCCACAGCCGTCCCTGGTCCTAGTATCTGTGGTTGGAGAGGGCACCTAAGAGAAAATGCTCGTGTTTTGTCAAGGGCGCCGGAGTCCTCAAACTGTGAAATTCCGCGCACATAGCCAGACTCGCTCAACTGCTAAGCAGAAAACGCAGTTCAGATTTCCATCTTTCTCCCTTCCATTCTCTCTTTCAGATTTCTTCCTCTCTTCTCACCCACACTGTTGGCTCCACACCAGCCAGCACCCTGGGAAAGTTAAAAAGAGTTTGAAAATGGTTCCTGGACTAGCACCCACGGTGGACTTAGCCCCAGCACTCTAAGGGTCTTGTTAGTGTGGGGTCGAAGGCAGGGACATGGCGCTTCGCTTTCTCCAGGGTCACTCTTTTCTGGTTAGACAAGTCTCAGGACCCCATGGGCCTTGCAGGAAGGCCTCATCCATAGTCTTCTTTTTGTAATTTTTTTCTACACACAGGGTCTCCAGTGCAGTTCCACCAAGATTAAATGAGAAGGTGCCCTCTGCTTGGGTTAAGCTGTAAGTTTACTATATTCCTTATGCTCTTCTAGCATCATGGGTGGGTGCTAATCATCTTATTTAAAAGCCTTGATTTCCCAGCCAGGTGTCTAGTAAGTAACTGGTGTGTGTGTGTGTGTGTGGGGGCGGATGCAGAGTTTGTGGCTGCCCATGTAGTGGGAACAAGTGACCCAAGTCCCAAAGCCTGAGTCTAAGTGGCCTCTTTACCCCATTTACATAACCTCCATAGCTCTTTTACCAGGTAGGAATTAGGCCAGCCTATTCTTCACTAATCCTTTGTCTTTCACATTGGCAGTTTGCTTTCCAGAAAGACACCAGATCACATACATTTTAGGTTTTTGTTAAGTCACACTGAAAAAAAAAAAGTTTGTAGAGACATTTCATAAATCTAGCTCAAGAGCCAATGAGACCTACTAATGGCCACATATGTATAGAAAATTCTCTTGTACACCACTTTCACATGATTAAGTCGTTAAAACAGTATTATTCTGTTTAGAGAAACCACAGGACAGAAGTAACCTTTTTATCAAGCTCATGTAGAGTGACGAACATGTTTGCAAACCCCTTGAGAAAGGTCAGTTCCTTCGATCTTGATGTAGACCTTTCCTAAAGAGCTTGTTTTAAAGTTACCAAATCAAGTAGTCTCCCTTGGCATGAGATTAAAGCCAGGGAGAATACAGTTGAAGAAGATTATTTAACATGATATTGAACAGATATTTTGGAGGGAAACAATGGGAAGATGTCCAGGAATGCCCACCCAATGTTTTAAGATTACTAAAGCTAAAATAAATAAATATGCTCCAGCTAGATCAGAAATCTCTCCCTCATTCCCAAGCCTGACTACAGTCTTCATTATAGCTGCCCAACTGTAAAAAATTATGCCTCTGTAAACATGAAAGCCAGGGTGGAAAGTCCAGGCTAGGATTTGGGCTTCTACTGGCCTGAGTGGATGGACCTAGCTGCCCATGGGGTTCAATGAGCATTGGAACTAGTAGGCTTCCATACCCAATGGCACTCTGGTAGCCCAGGCATTTTTTCTTTGTCATCTTTGAGTTAAAACAAAACAAAAAGAAAAAAGAAAAAAAACCAAACAAAAAACCAAACCAAAACAAAAACAAAACAAACTCAGAGAAAGAACTTACCTTAGTAAGTGGTTTAGTTTTCTATCTCAAACCAAGACATTTATAAAACATATTTTGGGAAAGATAAGAGAGACATCTCAGTGTGCCTGGGCTTCCAGTTAGAGAGCCCAGGATTAGGAATCTGGGGGAGGGGGCCAGCAGGAGAGTAAGGCGAGAGCTGCCATTTAGATGCAGAGGAAAAGTGACAGTCATTTCTAGTCCATCAGTGAAGCCAGAGCCAAATACTTACCTTTTATAAAATCCAAGTCTAGACTAGCCAAGAAGAAATACTGCAAAAAAGAAAGAAGGTTTCCTTTTTATGTTAAAATACACATTCTTTTATTTTAAATGCCCGGCTTGGCTGAAGAATAACTGCATGGCTATTCTTCCCAGAGATAATGGGTTGGTTTAGATGAAAAGTTGAAGTTTTGAAATGAGTTTGAAGGTTGTTAGAGTATCCTGACAATACAATCAACTGTGCTATATAATCATTTCTCTTAATAGTTACCTGTCAGAGTACCTATTTCTTTGACTGCAGGATTAGCTCATCAGAAGTAGAGCTGAGTTGGACATTTCACTGACTAAAGACTGCTTAAACATGTTTAAATCTCTAATGCTATTTTCTTCACTGACTATGATATAAACTAGTGACTGAGGAGAAGCCCAGCAGATCTAGTGACTGCAGTCTTATTGCAATTATGTTTACCTACCAGAAAACTGATCAAAATAGTAAACCTAATAATTTCTTCCAAACTGTCAGTGGAAAGACATGTTTATTACAGTGTCCTCCATATTTGAGGGGGTAAGGGTTCAGGTCAAGTTTAAATGAAAAAGGATGAATACAGTACATCACTGATACAAACCATGCAGAACAGTAAATAATTATGTCCTATGTTAGGATATGTATATTTTATTTTCCCATGTCAGAGGTAGAAAATCTACGTAGCTCATCCACAGGAGGAGTTAATAAAGTATTCCAAATGCATGACCTAACAAAACTCAGAGTAGTTCTATGTTTTATTGTTAACCCCTTGCATGAAATCTTCTGAAGCTGAAAGGAGAAAGTAAGGGCTTTTGTGTTAGTTGATCCTAGGCTATTCTAGGGCTCAGGTTGGTGTGAAAGGGATGAGGAGGTCACTTGAAATCTCCTTTTATCTACTCTTATTTTCTCTCTGGATCAGCAACTTTGAATAGACATCATCTAATCGCTCTTAATGGAAAGAAAGTATGGGAGCAACAAAAATGCCTTTGCTCCAGGAGTGAATACACGCCTGCAGACAGCGAGCTGAGCTTGCAGAGGACTGCATCTCTGCACACACGAGCTTAGGGTGTTTTTGGTGGGGACATGGATGGATGTGTATATGTCTCATGTCTCACACACTGAAGGGGTTGCATGGATTCTGTTGCCCATTGTGTAGTTTTAATTCTCTACCACGTCGGGTGATACTTTTAGCTGGCTTTCCCTTAAGCTTTTTCTTATCCTCAGTTTCTGGCCACATTTAAGTATTATAAAAACACAAATAAGAACTCAGTTGTTAATCTTTTAGAAGAGACATCTTATTTTCTTTTTGTTTTCCACCAGAAGTCACCTGATAGAAGGGTCTCTCCTCAGAGGGTGGAGATGATGTGACAGGTGGGACAGACTGGTAACAAGTTCTTTACTTTCAATTTCTCTTGCTTCAAATTCAATTAGACAAAGCACAATAAATAAGTGGAAAATAAGAGCTGAACATAAAGTTCATTAAAAGTTTTTCTTCCTTTATATTTATATTTTCAACTCTTGGAGCTGGTAATTGATTACAAATTGTTTTAATACTAGAATTATTTTAGTAAAACTCAGGCTGACTAAAACAGTACTCAATGCATTTTCCTTTGGGTTTGCTACATTTCTTTTAAAAAGAAATACGAATAACTATCCAGAAAAGAACATGTGATTTTTTAGGGCTGAAAGCAAGAGGCTTTCCTCCCTAGGAAGCACCCCCTCCATGTTCTTCTAAGCAGAATTCTAAGCCTGGGACACTGCTATAAATTCCTCTAGGGGAATACTCCGTTACCAGGGCTACAAGTTCTCATGTCAAGCTGCCAGTCTCTCTGCTCCCTGACACAGATACCCTTGGCTGCAGAGACTGGGGGCTTCAGCTGCCCTCTACTATTGCCAGCCTCCTGAGGCTGCAGCTCAGAAGTTAGAAGCTGGGTGGGGGCAGATTAATCTCTCTTTAACTCTTCTTTCCCTCCCAGGATTTTGAACCCCAACTGATATACTTCCTTGGGTTTCCTGGTGAATAGAGCACTGGGGCAGCCTTGTCCACTAAAGATTAAATGAAGTAGAAGAATCTTAGCTGTGGGTACTTGCAAGTGCCGGCGGGGCGTCAAACCAACGTTTACCACATTGTTTCCACTCAATGTACACACATCCTGGACCGACTGGGTTTAACTTTAGGAAAGAAGGAAGAAAAAGATCTGGAAAGAAAAGAGAAACAGGGAAGAGGGAAACAACAAAGAACAGAAAGTTAAAGTTATGGAGAAATCGCGTTTTCAGGGGGAAGTGGCTTTATCCTCAGAGCCGCTGGCAGCAGGCAGAAGCCAGGCTTCCTGACCTTGTAGCCTTTTCTCTCCTGGAGCCACTTTGGGAATTGGAGGCTGCTTCCTCCAGATGAGGACTGAGAGCTCTTCTTGGGTGGGTGTTATTTGATTCACATTTATCTCTTTGGGACAGTAGGGGTGGTCCTGGGTGGATGTGAGGAGGGGCGTGATCCAGAACTCTTTGCTTCCTTTGTATTTTGATTTAAAATTTCAATGGAGGCTTTGGTAGCACAAACTGACGGCTTCCTCTGGTTTTTGCTCAGCAGAAGAAACAATGATTTCCTCTGTAGGTATTCAGCCTGATGGACACTGACCTTGAAGCTCAGACTGGATGGGAGGCACCCTCCCACATTGGTCCAGGAGCCATCCTGGCCCCCAAATATTAGCTGTTTACTCCCACCTGCTCCTTTAGTTTCTGGGTACAGTCCAGAGGGGGCAAAAGGCAAATCCCTTTGTGGCAAAGGCTTGTCCATGCAAATTTAACGCTGAATAAATTAACCTCAAACCAGCAAGTTGGGGTGTAGTAGTTTAGCAGGACTAATTGCAGACAATGTAGCTGAAATGACTTTTCCAATTAGCTGCTGGTTGGAGTTTAGTTGGGGGAACTGTCAGCTCCAACGATGGGTAATTGCTTTATTGCTCACAAAACTATCATCTATTTAGAACATATGTGCTAATTACTCTAGATGGGCGTCGACAAAGAGACCATAAATCTAATAGCACTTTAAAAAGTCTATGGTGCTTGTAAGCAACCCCAGTCCGTTCCCTTTCAGCCAGGCCCAGGTTAATGTGGTAGGTGAGGTGCCTTTCTGCAAGGCACAGGTTAGGGTGAGGGCGCCAACCAACCGTTCCCTGCTTGCATTCAGTGTGAAGGTGATAAATCACTGTCATCAAAACCAGACCCCTCTTTAACCGCACACCTTTTAAGTTTTTTTTCGTAAAAGATTGGTTCAGAAATCTTTTAATTGGATTATGTTGGGAAATTAATCTCCTTTAGCCTTGGCTTAATTTATTGTGCATAGTGTCACGAAGAAAACCTTGTGACTGCAGCAAGGGCCCTGTCCCTTTGTTTCTTTCCTCAGCGCTCCAAGGTCTCCCAGCTGTGGGAGACAGTGGTGTCTGAAGTGAAAAACGGTGGAAAGACACATCTGGCCGCAAGGCCACAGGAGTCCCAAGTCAGTTTCTTTGTCTTAAGTGCACCTTTCTGTTCGGGATTCTGTAGCTCCAAATTCCCTATCTCCACCGCACCGCTCCGCGCCTTTATCCACAAAGCGTTCTGGGTTTCTGGGGGTCTGC